GCAACATCATTCAAAACCTGCCACCCCAGAGCAGAGGTGCAAAAAGATTCTGGTTTACCGGATATGATCGGTGACAAAAACGGACACTTTTTACGAGCATATTGAGGACCAAATTGCAAAAATGGAAACAGATTACAACAGGCCAGACCACATTACAACATATCCTCCCAGTCCGACGACACTCAAGGCTTGGTATTGGCCTGTACTCGCTAACGCTTGCAGCGTGAGCCTGTGCAGACTACGAGCCGAAACATTGGCGTTTCGTTGTATGAACAAGTTGGGTCGCAAGATACTGCCAAACAAAGTCGCTATCATCGGAACAGTTTTTGGTAGGGGACAAATCTACTACAAACTATACTACATCAGTGATGAAGTCACAAATCAGTGGTGACAGTGTTATTCCAATGCCCCTTAGAGCAGTGTTTTCACAGATTTTTTCGGTTAAGTTTCACTTCACATGCAAAACAGTATGCAACACTAAATAGCTAGGCTTATTACTATTCGTCGTAAGACTCACGTCTGACCTCAACACCTTGCGATGAACGTGACCAGTGTGTTACGCGGCGTTTTAAAGCGTCGTGCAATTTGAGACAGATGGGCTCAAATGCTTGCCAAGCGGTAATGAATTGGGCTCCGTTCAAGGCTGTAGTCTGCCATTGGTTGTCACCACGTCGTGGGAAGCTGACGGCTTGAAGGACGAAATTTATCGTCAGGTTTGAATGCGCTGCGTGGCTATTCTAAGCACCTACCATGGAGGGCTTCCCTGATAATGGCGTTAAAAACGGCCAATCTGGGAGGTTTGTTGGCTCGTGGATGTCCGAACTGTAGCTTCAGAGCCCAACGGAGGACGTTGGAGAGACATTGTCACACAAGGATTCATCCTGGTCTTCCTGCTGCTGAGAGGAACAACGGCTTTGAAGTAAAATGCCGAGCGTCGCTGGTGTAGGCTTCTCACGCCGCCCTTCGCGCCTCAGACTTAGCGTACTGATCGTTGGACAGGGGCGAGGTAACACGTTTTTAGTTGTAATTTTATTGCATATAGAGCTAAATAAAGGCGCAAGAGGTGTTGAAAAATGTCGCTTGCATCTGCTGATACCAATATTGTACAGGTTTCGCACTACTTGATTGGGATCATGTTAGAAAGTACGAGGCCTGCACTGGTAATACTGGTGAATGCGACGATAGTGAAGGTTCACAACGTTTTCAGCTGATTGCACGATGATATCACAAAACAAAAAGTGATATTGTTTTCAGATGCTTGTAGATCCATGTTATCGGTGAATGTAGGGCTACAGGGATGCAGTTTTGCAAAGTGCGTAGGAGTGAGGGAGAGGGAGGGGTGCAGGAAGAAAAATGACTGGACCTGCCTCTGAAATGCACTTAAAACGTTTTCCTTCCCAGATTTGACGTACTCCCTTTTCAGAGTTGAGAGCAGGATCGTACGTTCTCAAAATTAGTTTTGGAAGACGCTGAAGCAACAAAAATGAGGATATATGGAAAATAATGGATAAAAAAGATGCATAAAGATAGGAAACTGCATCCCTGACTAGCAGGCGCAATCCTCCAAACTGAACAGGAAATTACACTTCTCACGGCTCGTTATGTTACGTATGCCTTTATATGATAATTGTATTGCTTTAGTCTTAACCATCATTCAATGTTTGATAGTCTGCAACTAACATCTCACTGTGAAATGGACTGCGCAAACAAAAACCAAAAAAGAGCGTTTTCTGGTTATGCCACATTGCAATTTCATCTACTTTTGTTTTGTAGTTTTTGGCGCTGGGAGCTATATTGCAGCGCTACATATCACACCCACACCCACCACCCACATCCCACACCCACACCCACACCCACACTCACACCCACACCCACCCACCTACACAGACCCACACCCACACCCACACCCACACCCACACCCACACCCACACCCACACCCACACCCACACCCACACACACATCCCACACCCACACCCCACACCCGCACACCCACCACACCCACACCCACACCGACCAACCCACACCCACACCCACACCCACACAACACCCACACCCACACTATATATATATGTACCAAGGGGAAACGGTAACTGACAACTCACCATTTGGCGGGGTCTGAGAATACCAACAAGCAAAACGACTGGGTTCATCAAGGCTACCACCATGGCCGCAACACCACCATCATGCTTGTTAGGCAGAAGCATCCGCCACATCGTCTAGCCCACCGCGCGACCACGTGACCCGTTACCACTCACCGACAGGCCGAGCCGGTGATTGTCGTAGTTGACGGTCATCACGTGCAGTCGCTCCACATCGCCCCCGAACATGGTGACGTTGTCGCGGCGGCGGCGCAGGTACGCCTCGTACCCCGCTGTGGATGGCCAGAGGCGGCCGTCTCCAGCTGGTAGCCGACGTCACCGCGCAGGTCGCAGCCGTCGGCGGCGGCCCACTGGCAGGCGCTGTACAGGCCGCACGTGGCCTCGTCGGCCGTGTCGGGGCCGCCAGGCAGCGGACACTCGAGCGCCACCGCCGCCGCCGCCCGCCAGCGCCAGCGCCAGCGCCAGCGCGACCAGCCACCGGGCGAGCATGGCGCAGCGTAGTGAGGGCCGCGGCGGGAGGGCTCGGTGGCGGGCGCGCCGGGCGCCAGGAAGCGCTGATAGCCGTGGGAGAGCAGCAGGTGAAGGGCGAGGGTCCCACCCCCCCTCCCCATCGCCGATCACGGCCGGGGGCCGGCGGGTAGTCGTCAGCGATGAGCCGAGTTTCCGCTCCACAGCCCACTGTCTGTCCCACAACCCATTTCCGCTCCAGAGTCCAGTTTCTGCTGGGTGGACATATTTTGCGAAGTCGCTGTTTCGAACGATACTATAAACCACATCAACAAGTTTGTCGTAGTTGAAATAACAGCAGCACTGACAGACTGCTCTTGGTATTCTGCAAAGAGAGGGAATATGCCAGTTGATTGCCAGAAGAGCGGCGAGCACGCGCCAGGCCCGGAACTTCGCGGTAGTAATGTTGGACGTGTCCCGCAAAATCACAGAGGACATTCTTCATTCAAAGTAAGAGCTTTTTGCCGTGTAAGGAACCGTGTCAGCTAACCAATAGTTAGTCTGCGTTGGCCTCATGCAACAAGGCATTGCATTGCATAATAGCTATGAACAGCCAAGGAAGCGCTTCCGACATACACAAAACTCGCATCCAGAGATCTTGGTAAGGCTCGACATCGCGCCAAGAAAAAGTGTCGTTGAACTTCCTCTTGCGCGGATGCCATTTTTGGACGCCATTTTTCCGCTGCGTCATGCATTTGTGGTGGCTGAGAATCGAGCAGAGGGAGTACTCTGCTACAATGCGTGTAGGCGGAGTACTCACCTATGATACTCACAGTATGATGGCATCCGTATGGCCACATCTCAATTCTATTGCTGGCGCTTGCCTCTGCTTTCTGATAATGTGGTATAGAGTAGTATACAGTTGATGTCCTTCAAAACACATTTCGATTGAATGTCACCCACCAACGCCATCCTGAACTGGCCCGTTTGAACCACCCCTTGGCTCCGTCTCTGTTACAGCCCGATATTTAATTTCATGGTCCGAAAAGAAGACTTGTCTGCAATATCCAGCAAGATTTTTCGATGTGTTTAAGTTATCTTAACACACGCTCGGGTGAGGGGGATCAAATTGACACCCCGAAGGTTTTTCCAGAATGGTTTCCGAACGGCGCGGCGTAGTCGCGCCAAGTTTTGCATAGGTATAGACAGTTGAATAGCAGATCCTTTGGCATCACGAATTTAGATGTACCTTGTACGGTCGCTGACCTGTGTCAGGTAAAAGTCAGGCCATGGTTTCAGCGAGGTTACCTTCTAGGAATCCCTTCAATCTGATCCAACAACGGAGTGTTAGACGAAGCCATACATCTCTGAGATGCTTTCCTAGGAAACACAACAGTAGAATGAGCAAATTACATTGACCTAAAGTCAGGTATAAAGGCCAGACTAAGGTCAAAACCAACCTGTTTTGTTACTCTTGGAGCTGCTGTATGGGATAGTTTTGGTGCTCATTTCAAATCAACCTGTTAGCAGGAACCGTATGATGCATCTCCCATGGACTTCTTAGAGGTCAGAAAAGGTCATTGACCTAAAATGAGCCAGGTCAACATTTTGCTTTTGGAACATACTGCGTAGCGTAATCTTTGCCGCTTAGTCAAACGCAAAACTCAAAGCAATCTTGTATGATTTTGGTCACCCTTGACCTTCAAAAGGTCAAACAAGTTCATGGATCTTCAATGAGAATGTGACCTTTTGCCTAGAAACAGATATCTGGGTTCTGAGGGCACTTTAGAGACCAACCTGGATATTGACCTTGCTTGACCTTTTTGACACAAAGATCATGACCTAGGAACCTGAAACTTTGGGCTAAGCGAGGTTACGTACAGGTCAACCACCACCCTGTAAATTTGGTGTCTCTAGCTTTCTTAGTCCCTGAGATCCCAGGGGGCCAAATTGACACCCCTCCCCCACCCCACCCGAGCCTAAGGGTATCTAGCCGGCCACCCGGGTGCGTGTTAAGTTTATATCATTCACGTAAGAAGTGTGCATCGATCATAATCGAGCGCACTTCTTAAACTGCGCTCTTTTTGTTATGTTTGCTAAGTTATAACTAAACTGACCTGACTTACCCTACATAGTCCCGTTAAAAAAATGAATCAGTTAGCACCCATCCCAAATCGATATCATCATTCTGAATGTGGAATGGCGTGAACAATTACGATTCTGCATGCATGTCGGGCAAACCACAAGTTACAAACTTTGCCAACGGGCGATTGAATGGATGCAAGAGACTGGAGAGGCACAGTAAATTCCTCTCTAGCAAAGATACTAGCTGACCATTGCCTATATCACTTAGAAATTTATAAGGCACCCAATGACCAAAAATGTAAAGCACAGCGCAAATGCTTACGTAATATGTGTACCTTTACGCATTAAGCATTAAAGAGTTGTATTTCCTTTAAGACAGAATATTGTAACGAATCTTTCAAATGTTTGCCAACTTGAGAATGGAGCGGGGGGAGGGAGGAAGGGCCGGAGCCACTGTTGTTGGGAAGGGCTGGAGCCCCCTGTCAAGTTGAATTGAGGCCCATTTCGCTGACCAGTCCTTTCAGTCACGCATAGTAGGGGCTAAGGGAGATGGGGGGGGGGGGGGAGGGCAGGCCTCTAAAAATAGTGTTGGAGATGCAGTAAATTAACAGAGAGCTTGCATGGCTGACCTGACATTGAAAAATGCTGGTTGTCCAGGTAGAGGTAAGTTTGTGATAAGATGCAGCATGGAAGTTTGTTAGCTATCTGATCGGCTGGTGGAACGTGTACAAGAGGATGGGCAATAGCTTCGAACATTTAGTGGTGTGAAATCACCCTGGAGCTGCTTATGTGCTTAAGGTCGTTTCATATGTTGTCGCTTCTTGTACTAAGATATTACTTGTTAAAAATAAGTGTCAGAGACACTGGCGGTTTCTCTTAAGTTTAGGGTTACAGTTTTTTTTGAATTATGTCCTTTCATTCAATGCCCATAAAGTCAATGCCAAATTTTCCAAAAATTTTGAAGAGAGACAGTTCGCCTGGTCCCCCTCCCCATTTCTCAGTTCCTTCACCACTGATCGGTGCGACGCACAATAATGATGGATCCGCTGGCTCATAAGATGGGCACTTGGCAATAGCTTTGCTTTGCTCCATTAACTACCACGACCTGAATGGCACTATTGTGTGTTGAAGTACGACATCTGCGGTTACATGTGAACGAGCTTTCCAGCGCGGCCGCCGACGCATGTTTTGTGGCACTCAGCAAACTCAGACCCGCACTCTGTTGTGGCACTCAGGCACAACTCAGACCCGCACTCTGTTGTGGCACTCAGCAAACTCAGACCCGCACTCTGTTGTGGCACTCCAGCAAACTCAGACCCGCACTCTGTTGTGGCACTCAGCAAACTCAGACCCGCACTCTGTTGTGGCACTCAACAAACTGAGATCCGCACTCTGTTTGTGACACTCAGCATAACTCAGACCCGCACTCTGTTCGCTGAGTTCCTGTCATTGCGGCAAAAGGGTTGGGTCCCAGTTTGCTCAGTGGTCTCCGATACCGCAGTCAGTGGACAGCACACCCACGTAAAGCTGACAATGCCAATATTCTGGTTATGGCACACACGTCATCACCACGCTTATAAATGCCTGTTTTATTTTGCTTTACGCCCCATGTTTCTAACAACATGCACAACCCATTAAACATATCAAGGGCGGGAGCTCCAACTTTGTGCCTATGACCAGAAATTAGATCATACTGCATTTTGGCAAATTCATGCAATTTCCAGCTCTAGTAAATGAAGCAATAAGGGTGTTTTTCGTGAAGACTACGTGGCCTAAATTGAGCTTACGCCGTACAGGTGAGGAGCTCTCTTGCAGCCAGACAATAGCATGCGTGTCGTGCACACGCCTATATCAATAGCAGCATTCAATTCACCTGTCTCAGTTCACCCAGGAAACCTGCCATCTGCCGTCCGTATCTGGAACAAGTGCGTTCCTTGAGTGCAACATGCCTTATACATTTGCCGGTCACGTAATCGTAACCATATTAAATGATTTTGTAAACATACATACATATATATATATATATATATATATATATATATATATATATATATATATACTAGCATAAGGTGACATTAAGCTAATTTGTCGAGTTTTGAAAGGGGGAGGGCAGAGTCTGTCAAACTTTGTCGCTGCTTTGAGCACAGTTTTGGTGTTCATGAGGTTTTGAGGCCCGAAAGGATGACCAAAATGTCATGGTGGAGAGGCACCAAAACCTTTGTTTCGCAGCCGTACAACCTTTGTTCTCAAGATGCACCAAATCCAGAGTAACCACGAAAGACACTATAACCTCATTTTCAGTTCACTGAGTTGCAAGGGTACAAAAATGTTCGTGCCGTATTCTTTGACGAAATTCTGGATTTGCCTGTCCGGCGAGCAATTTCAGAGCGCACTACAATGGGCCTAGAGCCTTCATGTCTAAGGGGCGCTAAATTCTAGGGGCACAATCATGTTGTGCCTTTCACCTTGACGAAACCCTGGATCAACCACGTGGACGAAGGGAATACCAAAACTGCATTTCGGTGAACCAGAACCCTCATTTTCAAGAAGCACCAGTTGCACACAGGCCATTTCAAGGGCCACAGACCTTCATGATAAAATCGGGCCTAAGTTCATGGTCATCATACATCATTTACCTTGGACGCTGACGAAATCCTGGATCGGCCCATTCGGGAAAGTGGCAAAAAAAATTTTTATTTTGGGGCATCACAGCCTTAATTTTCCAGGAGCACCCAGTCCA